TGGTAGAGGGAGCTAGGAGGTGAAGAGGGAAGTGGGTTGTGTGTGGCCTGCATTGAAGGTACTAAGGAACATGCCTTTGATTTTGGATTATTCAGGTACATTAACTAGATAGGTTAGAAGTCAGGTTGGATAAAAGCCCTGGGCCTATGGGCTTTCAGTATGGTGAGGCTACAATTTCCCCCTGTTTCTTGCATAACTTTTACATATGTGAAAATTGCTCACCCTTGCCTCAAAAGTATCTGGACTCTGAGGATCCCTTTCCCACTGCCATGCTGAAAAAAGTGTTACTTTTAAGAAGAGTGCATCAATGAAAAGCAAACAATAACAATACACTGAGGAGTGGCTGTTCATTTTTCTGAATTTCCTTAGCTTGGGGCAGGGACAGTCTATGGCAGAAACCCATTTCTCCCAAGGCTGCCTGTGATGTCAGCCTGTTCTCCAATTACTTACTGTAAGTGAGAAGTGGCAGAATTTGCTTTAATTACTTCCCTGAAAACTGCACATTTTCACGAAGGGAAGTTGCACGTCAATCTTTGATGGTTTTTCTTCACACTGATTCAAATTTACTGTATCTAGCAGCAACTCCTGCCAGAAAGTTGTGATACAGGGTAAGTGTCCCTTATCTGAAATGCTTGGGACCACAGTGTTTCAGAGTTTGGGTTTTCTTTTGGATTTTGAAATATTCAAATATACATAATGAGATATCTTGGGGATGGGATCTGCATCTAAACATAAAATTCACTGGTTTCATATACGCCCCATGACCATGGTCTGAAGATAATTGCTCTTAATAATGTTGTGCATGAAAAAAATGTTGTGTACATTAAATCATCAGCAAGGAAAAGTGTCACTAACTCAGCCACTCATGTGGACAATCTGAGGTTGTTTGGTTTAACGGTCATGCTGTGCTCAGAAAAGATACATTGCAGCAGGAGAGTGTTGGGGGAGTCTTTTTTCTCTTGGGGATGCTTGAGAAACTTTGCACTGTGTGTCTATGCTTTGACTGCAACCCACCACATGAAATCAGGTGTGAAACTTTCCACTTGTGGTGTCACATCAGCGCTCAAAATTTTCAGATTTTGGAGTATTTTGGATTTTGAATTTTTGGATGAGGGGTTCTCAACCTGTGTATTTACTGGTTTTAGAATTGATAAACATTTTCTTTCTCATTTGTATTCATTTTTGGTTATCTCTCTCAGTTTCTCAGAGGAGTCTTTTATAAGAAATTCTCATAAGAAGCAACCTATATTTTTTCTTTTATATAAAAATGAGTGAATAAAACATCTATAGGGTGCTTGATTATTTGAACCCTGAGACAGTTAATATTTCATGTAGCGGTTCTCAAAGTATGTTCTACAGAAGTCAGTTCCAAATCATGTCAACAGCATTTATAGGAGAAAAAGTTTCCATGCCCAAAAAGTGTTAATAATGGAAGCGAAAACAAAATTAAACATGATTATTTACTGAAGGACTTTTTTTTCCAGATAGAGAGGTTTTTGTTAATTTTTTATTTTTTTTAACCTTTATATTAGGTTTGGAGTTATATAGGAAGATTTGTTTCATAGGTAAACAGGTGTCACGGGAGTTCGTTTTACATATTATTTCATCACCCAGCTATTAAGCGCAGGACCCAATAGTTATCTTTTCTGCTCCTCTCCCTCCTTCTACTCTTCACCCTCAAGTAGACCCCAGTGTCTGTTGTTTCTTATTGAAGGACTTTTCGAAACCGTGAATATGCAAAAGAACACTGAACTTACAAGACAGACATAATATGCAGCATTTCCTAGAACTTATTTAATTCAGTGCCTTTATTTTTTTCTATAAATTATCAAAAAGAAAAAATAAATTAGTATAACAAACACTAGAAACTACTGGTATAACAGCATCATTTCCTAATTATAGGTGAAGGAGTTAAGAAGAAATAAAAAATCTTCTAAATGTTAGTCTTACAAATGTAATTATAAAAATAATTCCTTCCTCTCTTCTCTGGTATCCATGCAGCAAATATTTGCCCCATGCTTAATTCATGATCCCATAAATGTGTGAAAGGAAATTTTAATATGAGAGAAATTATAGGTTCACCTGCTACTTTATAAGGATATTGTGAGAACTAAATGAAGAATGCATGTAAAGTGCTATAAAAATCCCATTGCTTTACGTTGAAACCTATAGATCAACACTTTTAAAACATGCTCTTGTAATATACAGATGTATTGTGAGTCATTGTGAGATATTTTGCAAGTTACTAATATTTCTAAGTTTGTGATATTACATGGTTTTTAAAAATATAAAACATAACATCTAGGTTATGCTTATATTGATGTCATTGTCACTGATTTCTGACATAATCTCTCAAGTGAGAGTAAGAGGGAAAATGTTTTAACTACTCTGTTAGAAATTCACCTGGGAATGGATTGTCGTTGCTATTTAGCATATGCTGTGATTTGAATGTGTATCCCAAAGTCCACGTGTTAGAAACAATCCCAATGCAATGGTGTTGAGAGGTGTGACCCTTAAGCTAAAACTAAGCCATGCCCTCATAAGTGGCTTAATACCATTATTGCAGGACTGCATTCCTGATCAAAGCATGAGGTTGGCCTCCTTCCCTTTCTCTCACCTAAGTGGTCTTTTGCCCTTCTGCCATAGGATGATGCAGCAAGAGGGCTCTCACCAGGTACTAGCTCCTTGATCTTGGACTTCTCAACCTCCAGAACTTTAAGAAAATATATTTCTGTTTATTATAAATTATTCAGTCTCAAATATTCTGTTACAGAAGCACAGAATGAACTAAGACAGCATATGAGCTGCAACCTGTAAAGGTTGTGAATTAAAGCAGCAGAACCCTCTATCTTGAAGCAGCAACTTTTCACAGTTTTGATCTAGAGCAACCCCATAACTGCCCAATGTGGTGACTTGTAATATTGCTGAGACATGGCTTTGAGTCACATGTGTTGTGAGGTTGCATAGCAGGATGTGTCATTTGGTTCTTGGCAGATGTATGATTTAGGAGAAAGTCTGAAGTTTATGCCAGTAGTCCTGATGAAGACACTCATTTGGCTACTATAATTTTTTGTGATTAGAATGTGAAAATTTTTAGAAGATAATTTTTGTTTGCATAAGTTCATGTTAACAGAAACTATTGTGCTACATTTTCCACAGCAGCTTTTTCTTTAGGGGCTAAAGAATTTTGTATATGGGAAAAGTTATAAGGTAGCTGAAACTAATGGCCTGTGAGAATGAAATCAGGCAATACTGAAGAATAGATATGAACACACATATGCACACATTTACTGTGGAGATGTCAATCTCAGTGTTTAAAGGTGTAAAGGCACACTGACTTTTCTACTTAGTTGCATTTTAGCAAATTTTGTGATTAAGGGCAGACTTGTTCTACCTTTTGACTAACCTAAGGACATCTAGAAGAAGGGCATTGTGCCTACATATTAGCAGCTCATTACATTACATTGTGACATTGCACAGCTCCTTTGGACAGATTTCATTAAGGCATACTCTCTTGCAGACACTAGAAACAAGAAGCCAAGTAGAGTTTGTATGCTAATTCTCCATATTGAATTGTCTCTTATTTATTTTGATTGGCAGATATTCTTTTAGATGCAGAAAAAGTATCAAAATGATGACAGAATCTTATTGTTTCATGCTTCCTTTTTGGAAAACATGTTGCAACACAGCACCTTTTACCTATGCCTACCAAGTGCTACTCCTTTTATAGTTAGTTCGACTAGCTGTTCAGGGAGTGAGCCCTGCCAATGGCTGCTTCGGAATTTAGTGCGTTTTGTTTGAAAAACAACATTTAGTCATGACATCCAGAATCTCAGAAAGACCCACAGATTTTATTTAATATATAATGTGTCTGATAGGACTCTGTATTAATGGAAATGCAAAACTAATTGCTGTTAATTTGTAATGTACATGAGTTTTACAGTTTTAGAATGTTTTTCTCATACTAATTCTCAATATTGTTGTAGTAGAAATAATTCAGAGTTATATGCTTGGATACAGGTATCTCAACTGAACCTTTGGTATTAGGCTGACTGAGGTCTTGTTGGAATCTGGGGATTGAGCAGAGTTGTTGAGAACACTGACCTCACTGTCAAAATTGGCCCATTGGAGGGTGTTCAGGTGGTGACTGGAGTAACTGGAATACTGAATCCCTCTTGTTCTTAACTCTGGAGGTGTGCACACCAAGTGATACCATCCTGCAGGTGGGGCACAAAAGGTGTGATTCGCAGCATGGTTGGAAAGGTGGTGCCAGACAGTCTTTCCTAGAGAGCTAAGGCTTGACAGCAGGACCCTCATCCTATGGTACAGATGCAAAAAGAAAAGGACTGACCTACATATGGTCTCTGGTCTCTGGCACATAACCCAGAGTTCAGAAAAGTCTTCAAGTCCTAGTGGGAAACAAAGTGTTAGGCAAAGGGACAGGGCAGACTATGGAGTGGGAGTCAGTATTTCAGGAGAAAATCGGGTCCTGTGCATAGAGGATCAGTCACTAGGGCTTGGCAATGGCACAGTACTTCCTGGCATCATTGTGTGAGTACTCAGTCCTAGAGTCCAGTAGTCATGGCAAGAGCCTATAGACAATGTTTAGATGACAACACCTCATCCAGTTAAAGGGCAGAGGCTGCACATTAGGATTTTCTCAGGAGATTTTAGGGTTAAAAAGTGTATCACTGGAATATCTCATTCTGCTGGCTACTCTGCTTGCTCTGGTTAATAGGAAAATTAGGTAAAACGATAAGTTGTTGGGACACATTTGTTGTAATAATAAAAATGTTATTACGTAGCATCTTCATTGTTCTTGATGCCCTGTTTGTTGGAATATTTTGTACTATTGTGAGCCCCAGGATGTTTTACCAATTTCCATTTTATTTTATAGAATTTTTTTTTAAATTTTAAAATTTTGCACTATTTAAAAATGTACAATTTGTTTCTAACAGATTTTGCCTTTTCTGTTTTTTTTTTTTTTTTTTTTTTGCTAGGTTGTTTCCAACCACATTGTCTACAATTATGGCAATCAATAGGCATCAAAGAGTTGAATAAAAAGAATCTTTCTTTATATCATCATCATCATCAATCACTGTCATCACCATATCATAATGGGTATCATATCTTAAAAATAGAAAGACTTTCATATTCTTCAGGAAGTAATTTGAATGTAGATCATAGCTTTTTATTTTATTTAAAAATGTTTAGCATGAACTAATATGAAAATTATATTTTATTCAACCACCAGAGGGAGCTCCCAAATATATGGATTCTAAAAGGGAAGGAGTAGTAATTAAGTAGGCAGCTTTCTATGTTTTTTAGTTGAAAATCAGAGATTTAATCAGCTGTGTGTCACGGTTTTGTGGGATCATGTGTTGGGTTTTAGTACATCAAGTGCTTAAAATCTTGTCCTACTATAGATCATCTTAATTGTTATTGAATAATAATCTTGTTTTTATATTTTTTTAAAAGTTTGAGTAATTGTGTTATTTTAACTTTATATTCTAATTTTGGACAATATTGATTAATGCCATGCTTTGCAAATATAATTATACTTCCTGACTTCCTCTCTTAGGTATTCATTTTTCTTAAGTTGTGTTTTTATACTGTCAAATTTATGATACATTCTTTTTTGTAACCATAAATTCAATGCTGACACATCTCGTTTTTGTATTTATTTGCTTTGATGTATTGCTTGACTTGTTAAATTTTATTTTTAAATAGTTTATTTGAGAAGAGTCTTTGGGATCTAGAATCCTTGATATCTTTCATGTTTGGGAAGGACTGCTTGCTGCTTTACACATGTATGACATATAGAGTGGGCATAACATTGTGAGGTCATATTTTCTTTCTCTCATCTATGATTTAATATTCTCCCTAGGAGAATGAAGTCTTCCAATTTTTTTTTCACTAATATTATGTGGGCATGGAATGGGAGGAAAGGAAATTATCCAGTTGTTTCCTGGAGGCAGAGCAAGTCCCTGCAGAGCTGGCTGCCCTCAGTGATGATGAGTTTTATATCTCCCAAAACATCCCAATTCTTAAATGTCTAGCATCTTGTAAGTAACCTTCCCAGTCATGTTTCATCATAGCTTGCTGAGTTCTGTCTCTCCTCTTTTATATGGATTTATTGAGATACAATTGATTAAAAAAACTGTGCAATTTGATATAATTGATAAATTAGAAACTATGTAATTTGATGTGTTTGGACGTATGTATACATTGGCAATGCTATCACCACAATCAAGATAATAAACATATCTATCATCTCCAAATGTTTTCCTCTGTCCCCTTGACCCAGCACTTTTTTTGTGGTAAAAGCACTTAGCATGGCAATCTGGGGAGAAGCAGTCCCTGGAACCATTATCTTTATCTGTTGTCTCTGTACCCTACTTTAAAATGTCTGAAAGTTTTCTTACACAGTATGTGGAAATTATCAGTCACAAAGGTTAAACAAATTGCCCAAGGCCAAGGAGTAGATGAGTGAGAGACTTGGGAGTGGATCCAGAACTTTTAACTGTTCAGTTGATATATTGCCTTCCATTGCTTCAAAAAGCTGCGAGCTGCCCTGCTTCTTCCCAACACACTTGACTCAAGTCAGGTATTTAAATTCCCATTTCTAAGCTGAAGTCAATGGTATTTCCATAACTAGGATGTTTGTTGCCACAACAGAAAAAATGACTTATAAGCAATGAATAGAGGTGAAATATATTCATTAAGAGTCAGTGCTGATACATTCCATCTTTCTTCACTTCCTTTAACTTCTTATTTTCTCCAGGCTGCTTACAAATGTATTCAATGTGTTAACAAAAAATTTAATAAAGACAGTGCCAGAATATCAGCATTTGGAAAAAAGAAAAATACTTTCTATTTGGTGTTAGCATAACTGTCCATTTTAATTAGGTGTATATCTCTCTGTGGATAATTAAAATGCTATCTGTAAATAAAGTAAAATATTAAATATATGATGTCACCATTTTGATTTATGTTTTTCCACAAAGCACAACCACTGTCTAACAAATGTGGATTTGACAGATTGATAATTATGGTCTCTGCCAGGTCAAATGAGCTCATTTCCCTTAAAACCTTAAAAGCTTGAGCAATAATATGGTCTCCCAGACACAAAGAGGAAACAGCAAGCCTCTTGACTCCATCGTGATTGTTTCCTGGGCAAGCGTGTTTCCCAGCTGCAATCACAGATGCCCAAAATCTATGCCAGTGTCAGGCCCTGCCATGCTGTAGCTCCCTTCAGGGGGCATCTCAACCGCTATTTTCCCCTCCTCTAGTCCTCTACTGAACCTGCCACACCTTCTAAGAAAACCAGAGGGCAGGTTCTGTGCTACTGCATGGACCCTCCACACACTGTAACCTGCAGGAATGTAGACATTTGACTGCTGCCTCCTCAGTTTACCACAGGGGGCAGACACTGACTGAAAAAGAGGTCCAAGAAATAAATTCCCACGGAACAGCAGGGAGATGCAAAATGTAAATAAATAAAATAAATCTTAAAACATGTACTCTGGTGCCGCCTTTAATAGTACATATCATGAGATAGGGTTTATTTCACTTATTTACAAATAAACAACTCTTCATTATTGCTGAAGATGTAGGAACTTAAGGTTTAAAGTTAGGGTGACTTAAAATTTCTCTGCAGAGAATGACTTCTGCGTAGTGTTTACTTTTTTACATTTTGAGTTTCAAATTTAATGCTTCTATGAATATGTTTCACTCAAATGTTCCAGCGTTGTTATAATACCCTAAATGAATAATGCATTTCTTAGAAAAGATCTTTTCCGAAGGAGAAAGCACTATGAACATTCACTTTATCTTCCTTTACCAGTCAATGATTTTTATCCTTTACTACACTTTTAAAATACCTAACAAAGGTGGATAAAACATTTTTATTCTTAATCAGTGGAGCTACATGCAAAATTCAAAACTCAAATCTGTGGGAAGCATTATGAAGAAATATTACTACTCTTTGTCAGTCTGCACAGACTTGTCTACACTATCCTAACATTGTTTTTAGCATGGTAGAGACAAGGATAAACCATGAAGCCTACCTGTTGGGATCTGAAATATTGCTTCACCACTTCCTATCTTGAGCATATTAGTTAATTTTTCTGTACCTCAGTTTTCTCATGTCTACAATGGAGGTAATAATATTACTTGTGTTGTTATGAAGACCAAATGAGTTACTATTTATAAATTATGCCTACTAATTAAAAAAATAGAACAGTGCCCAATGGTTTTATTTTTTAATAAAAGAAAACACATATTTTTTTACAGCATCACTACCTCCAGATCAATATTGCCATATTACTGATCAGGTCTCTTTTCCTTGCCTATCCAGAATGTTTGTGTTAGAGTTCCATTTGATAGTGAGAGGCATTAGGAAGTTCTGGGTCAATTTTCTCATCTGTAAAATGGTGATGATGATCTTGTCTTGGAGGTCTAATGTGAAATGGAATGAAGTTGCATAATTGAAGTGCTTAGCAAAGGATCTTACTGGGAGAAGGCACTCAATAAACGCTCACTGATAAATAGAAATAACTGCGCAAATTCATATAAGCTCAAGATTCAAGAAGATAAAAAGACTATCATAGGAACCATTTTTTATTGAAAGGGTCAGATTGTTTTATCCTTTTATTATCAGACTCAAATTAGAAATTTTCAATTCCTACTTTCTAAAGGGACTATTCAGAGAGAATTTCTGAAAAATTTCATCCCTCCAGGGTTTTATAGTCATTTCTTGACTTACACACAATGAAAATAACAATAGATTTCTATTTACTGGGAAAGCCATGTAGAAATACTGCTAAGGTTTACTTAGAGGCAAACAAAAGAGGTTGAGCTCCTTTTGTATTCCTTGCTTATTTGTGTTACTCAGTGGTGAAGAATAGCCACTTATTATTTCCTTTGTGGGAATGATTCTGGAAAATGAAAAACATTTGTCTAAGTACAAGTCAATTGCTAAAATCATGTGCTATGTCAATTTCAGATAGCAGGCATCATGTCAATTTAAAAAAAAAAAACAAACTGGATTTTAGTGTCAGATCACTGGAAATGAGCCTGAAAAACCTCCCCTCATACATTATGACATATTCAGTTAATACCTTTACAAATATCTATTGCTGCTGCATAAGACTTTAGATACCCATAGGCAAATCCAGATAATTAAAAATTTCCTTAGTTCTAGTAAAAAATAAACATGATACTAGAACTAAGGACTTGGTGGATGGCGGAACAGGTTGGACTTAGGAATGTAAGTTTTTAGGAACACATGAGTCCACTGAGTTATGACAAAGTATCTGGGAAAACCCCTGTAGTGGCCACTTGGTAGGCAATGAGCAGGCTCTGATGAAAGGTTCAGCCAGTAAGCAAGATATGCATGGGAATAGGAAGCTGAGAAGTACTGGCCAGGAAGGCCTACTCTCAGTGCAGTCCCTCTAGCACCATATAGAAACCATTCTGTCACAGAATTTTGAGTTTAGGGAAACTACCCTAATACCCAGGAAGACTGGTAAGGACAAGACAGAACAAAGACCTGATTCGAAAGATACAGCGTTACTAGAGCATGATTCAGTTACTAAAATTGAGTTATAATACAATAGTCTAAAACTGAAGATTAAACCATAACATAATAACAAGATTTAAAATGTACCTGCTTAAGGAAAAGATAGGTTTTAAAATCTAGGTTAAGGCTGAACCAGCGGGTGAACACCTTACTGTGAAGCCTAATTAACACTACAATCACCAATATCTTACAACAAATAAATGTGTGAGTGAGTTTCATAGAATGGTTTCTTTTAATGTCCCTCAGAAATGAAGATGTCCTAGAAAACCACAGTGTAGTTCAGCAAATGTCAAAAAAGACCCATTCAGAAGGTATTCCTTGGATCTCTGTGACCTGCTTTTATGCTAAGGAGTTTTTGCTTTGTGCTGGTGGTGCCAAGACTAGAGTCTGGGCCACACATCTCCTTTTATGAAGAGCAAAAGTTAGATTCATAAATATACATGAATATGGAAGACTGGGGATGGGCAATAAAATAGTTTTCATTACCTAAATCAGGAAGTGAATGATGGAGGCAAAGTAGGTGTGCAGTCTTCAGGGGGCACACAATTTAGATTGCTTTTCTCTTTGTTGAACATATTGTTTTGGGTGCCACCAGTAGAATTAAGAGGGCTGCTGACATTCTTTCTGGCATAAACAGTTCACATTAAGCACAAAGTTGACAGCATAAAGGATGACTCCTGACATAGGTGGGTCCCAGTGGCACCATGCATTTCTCTCTGGTGTGGGCAGCTATGCGTATGGTAAAACCCTCATCCTGTGAAGGCTTTGTTTCTCTTTCAAGAGAAGACAACACAGAAGAAATGGAAGAGAGGCAAAGGCTGGTAGTTGAATTTTTATGCAGGGTTCTGATGCTCTATTTCCCTCAAAATAACTGGATCTCTGATCTGATAATTTTAAAATCACATTAAAATACAAAATTATTTAAATGCTGACATCAGAATTGTCCTTTATTACTAAATGCAGAGTGGAAAAAAAATAGAATAGTTTTCTTTTTTCCAAGAGAAAATATTATTGCTGAAAAACCCTAAACCAGGCCAAATTATTGGTCGTGTGTTTTGGCAACAGAAGGTTCTTTCCTCACATGCAGATTCTCAGAAAATACTCTGCCTGTATTCACTTTTGAAAAAAATATTTCACTGAGAGATTAATTAAAATAGATATCACAAAAAATGAGGAAGTTACAGTATACAGCTGGTAAGCACTGAAACTGAGCATTGTCATATTTAATCAACAGCTATAAAATTCATGTAAATATAAAAACAATTATAAATAAAAAGATACATTGTATATATTAATATTAAATTGGACCTAAGAATCCAGAATATTGTTTATTAAAACTAACAAGTGGATTTGGGTTGGTGGCTTGGGTAGGGGAAGTAAAGCCTGCTTCATTTCTCATCTATCATAAGAGGAAGTCAATAGATAACACTTCTGTACTGATGTAGAAAAATTTAAATGTACATATTGCAGTATATGTTTTAAATATTAAATTATTAAGTAATCAGTAGAAACATAAAACAGGGTAGCTTCTAAGCCACTATAGAAATTAAGCAAACAAATATATCCATATAGGAAAAAATAAGTAAAAGGAAACAGAAAGAAACCACAAAATAAACTGTGCATGAAACACAGTGATATTCATGTGATTAAATATTCCAGGTACAACCATAAATTTAAAAAAGATTAAACCCACTATTAAGTCACAAAGATTGAAATGTGGCAACTCCAATGTATCTAAATATGTGCTATACACAAGAATTATCCCCCAAAAAATAACAAAAAAGTAAACAATGAAAGGATTGACAAAGGTGTATTCAGCAAATAACTAAATAAAGGAGTGAGACTATTAATATCCATTAAAACATAATTCCAAAACAAAACCAGCAAAGGGAAGAAAGATAAAAGATATTACCCACACTGAAGATATAATAGAATCAAACTCCAAGGAGCAAATAACATGGTTTTGACATATAAAGGACAGAAATTGCTAGAGAAGAAGGAAAAACAGTAAAACAATGTAATTATTTCAGGACATGTTATCACTACTTTCAATTTTTGATAGATGATTAGATATAAAATAAATAAGCATATATAACAGATTTAATTATTATGATGACAATTGACATGTCTTTCTTTAAAAATGTTTCATCCTTTTCATTTTTCTTAAAATGTTTATCAAATTGATGATACAGTAGTGAAATGGGAAAAGTCCCCTTGCCCCCTTCTCAGGGTGTGCGACAGGAGGACTGGCTGGCTTCTTCAGTGCCTCGCTGCTCAAATCTCCAGGGGAGCATACAGCCTGCCAGGTGTGGGGCTCCGACCGCATGGCAGTGTCTAAGGGTGAATGTTTCCAGCTCCTCAAGCCCCAGTGGGTCTGTGTTACCGTGTGCTCTTTTAGTTTTGCCATCTATAGGCTTTCATTAGTCAGCTCAATTAGACCTCTGCCTTGTCGCAAGGACGGGGGCTTTTTGTATCCTGGGTTCTCGCTTTGGTGTACCAGAAGAATCGGATCACACCTGGGCTTGGAGAATGAGTGCAAGGTCCTATTGGGTGGAAGTAGCTCTCAGCAGATGGGGGAGCCAGAGGGAGATGGTGTTCCCTGGAGTTGACCTCTCTGCAGGCTGGGCTCTCCTTTGACTACTCCAGCCAAGCCCCGCATAGTCCCCACTGCTGATGGCCTGCCTGCCTGCCGGTGTCCCTAGTGTGCTCTTCTGCCGGCATGCTCCCCTCAACATCCAGTCGCTTGTGTCTTCTTCTGCCGGTGTGTTCCTCACGAGGTCCAGCCACTCGTGTGTCTGCCTACTGGGGTCTCCGGTCGTATTTATAGGCCCAGTATAGGGTGTGGTGGACCAGGGTGGTCTTGGAAAATGCAACATTTGGGAGTGAAGGCAGGAGTACCTGTCTTCACCTAAGTCTGCGGGCACAGGTCCCAGGGTGAAGCCCTAGCCAGGAGCCACGCCCTCCTCTAGCCACCACTTCCGTTTCCCGCTTCTGTATCATTTAAAGGGACCACGCTTTTCCCTTTCCAGTACTGCCATTATCAGTAGGCCATACAAGAAATCCCAATAAATTCTCCAATTTGGGAAATGTACAAGTCATATTTTAGAATAAAACTTGAATAAAACTCAAAATCAAACAATAATACTCACAATTCTTAGAAATAAAAAGTTATCCTCTAAGGAACTCTTGAATCAAAGATGAATTTAAAATTAAAATTGCAGGGTTGCTATTTCTGGCAATAATGCAGAATATATGTCTGGAAAAGCCTCACTACAATGCACATTTTTATGTGGATAAAATAAAGCCACTCTTTTTTTTTTTTTAATGTGTTCACTATAATGTAAGGGGATCGTTGTGAGTAAAAAAATACAAAAGAATAAGCAAATTGGGAAATAGAACTGAAATCCATAACTACGCAGCAGAACAGTTTCAGAAAACCAGGAAGCTTTCCCAGCAGATCAGGCTTTGGACCTAGGCAAAGAAAGAGAGGTTGAAAATAAAGCTCTTGAAGAAAGTTGAAAATTAAAAGAGCTAAAATATTAACAAAAGAGTAGATGTAAAAAAGCCAAGCTAAACAAACAAAAACAACAACAAACAAAAAATTCTTAGGAAGAAAGGTAGAATACAAAAATGCTTATTTGTTTCAGTTAGTAT